ACAACATGCCGATTGTATCGGCCTACAAAAAAAGTGATCTACTATGCTATACCTCAAGGAAATCCACTTTAGCAAAGTGTCCTTTTAAAAAGAGAAATGAAAAAGAGATGCTTAAAATATTAAAACTACATTGCAGAACAGAGAGAATAAACTAAAATAAGAAGTAAGAAAAGATTCAGCAACATGCTAATAAGAAAAAGATTTACATTGCATTTAATGTGTGTATATACTATGCTTTTTAAAAAATATATATATAAAAATCATTAAAGTACTTACTAATACAAAAAAAATCAAGTATAAAATTGGGTTGCATTTGCAAAACAAACAAACCAAATTTTCAAACTAATCTCTTTAAATGTATTAAAATTGTAGAATAATTGTCAATTTCCAAAAATACTAATTCCACTTAAATACTGATTAATTACCTATTTATTTGTAGGATTTTTATTTGTGTAAATCAGTAAAAATGTAATAAAATATTCTACATTAACAGCATGTTTTGAATGTTAAAGAATTGAATAAAATGTATTGAGGGAGAACAACAGCCTCTGTTTAATATAAAAGTTGGTGCTCATAAACGTAACCGGCTAAGTCATTTGTTAAGTGTTTGCTTATGGATTTGAGGCGACGCTTTGGTGGCCCAGCACCAAAAGAATCATCGAGTCTGATCTTTACAGGGAACAGGGAGAAATAAAGCGAGCGGGAGAGACACAGAGAAAGAGACAAAGATGGAGAGGGAGAGATAGAGAGTCGGGACAAATGTGTGTTGTGTTACTGGGCCACTCCAGCACCCATGGACTCTCAGCAAGACTCAAAGCCACACTCTGCTTCAAACGAGAGCCATGAAGATTTTTTTTTTAATGTTTACAAAAACATATTTATTTATTTCTCGTCACTCCGTCATTTATCTATTTATTTCTCGCTGTCCCAGCACCCCTTGCTCTGCCACTGGAATCCTGTTCGATGACGCCGACGTGCTCACCCTCCCCTCTTTTGCCCCCCCACCCCTCTTTTAATACCACTGCAGTTGAAAATCAAACTGCTCTAAAACAAATTGATGTACTCTTTAATATAGTCGTCACATCATCACAGGGTCCTCACACGTCTGCCTTGGTGACAACTGCAGGGCTGCTTAGCTTAGCCCAGCGATGGCTGCCACTTTGTTGGTCGCTTCAATGATTTATCACAAAAAAGAGAGGGAGAGTGTGAGAGTGGGAAGCGAGACAAAAAGGGAGAGAAAGAAAGAAAAATCCCCTGGATCATGATTGAGTCACTGGCACCTTTGATTGACAAGGTCTAATCAGCTTATCTCCATCCTAATAAAGTTGATAGCCTGCAGTGCTGCTCTCTACCTGGCATGGCGTGAACTTTGGGCTAGGCTGGGGCCCCTGGGGGCCGTACCCCAGCCCTCTCTGCTTATCTAAACGGGGCTGAAATCAATCCCTAATGAGCTGTTTTCATTTGCAGGATTGATTACAGGCTCCTAACACCAAGAACACTCACCTAAGAAGAAGTGTCTCAGCCTCTTGCTGGCCACCTTTAGAATGCAGAGCAGCAATGCTTTTGTCTGTGCTCGTCTTTGTTTCAGCGGCTCATTTTGTTGGCATTGCTAAAGTATTTGTGAAAAGCATAAGGGGGGATGAATTTTCAAAGTAAGTTTCCTTAATATTTAATGCATGATTTACTGAACTGGACACTTTAAATACTGCCTCTGGTTTGTTTTTACAGTAAACTTGTATTTATTATAAAATTACCTTTAGAATTACGCTAGATCGCTCGCCTTAGCGGTCCTTTGCAACACACAAACATGCTAACAAAATGAATTCTGCTATGACAAGGCTACATTTCAACCTTAAACTATTTACATCCTCACAAAAGTGCAATAAAGCGCCATCAAATAATTTTAATTGCTGAGATAACACTAATTAATATTTCAGTTTTTAAATTAAGAGTTAAAATTTTACTATGTAAAGCAGAATGTATTTTTAAATATACATATATATATGTTTTATAGAGTCATATCTTTTCAGAAACTGCTAATCAGTCTCTAACCTTTAATGAATAGAAAGGTAAGGCAACAAATCATTGCAACATGGATATGTTGCACAACATGCTATTTTCATTCTTAAACAAGCATCATGAATCATTCAAAATATCTTCAGCTTTGGCGGGAAGGACTAAAATCCAGCATGTCTTTGATTTAACAACATCTCCAAAATTTGACAAGCCTCCACGTTTGGGCATTTCAAATGCCCCTGACTCAAATGTCTTTAAATTGGCTAACTGCATGCCCTCCCTTTTTATTTACTGCCCTCTTTAACTGGGCTAGCCTCCATGTCTGCATGTCTCTATGCCTGGGCTTTCAAGTCAGTGCTCTTCACTAATGAAGTTCTATACTTTATTTATGAGACAAACAGAGAACCCTGTTTCTTGAGGGTGCGTGTGGTAAATAGCTCTGCATGCCCAAAGAGTCTCCTCTATATCCCTCTGAGGGCTCTCACTGCTTTTGGCAAGCCTTTGTTTCACAAAATACACTAGAGACACTGAGAATAGAAGAAGAAAAAACTAAAATATCTATGATAAAATGATACTGTGTCAAGATTCATCTTTTCTTAGAACTAAGAGTCTTCTTTTTTCTCCTTAAATGTGACCTAGAAGCATCCTGTTTTTTTTTGTTCCTGGTCATTAAGAGAGATATTGTCGGCGGTGAAGAGAAAAGGGGGCAAAGAGTTTCTACACCATTTCTTTGTTCAGGATCTATCTCTTTGAAATATAATGTCTTTTAGTTCCACTTCCCCCATTGGTCAATTGTAGTTCTTAAGGGCTACTGTGTCATTGTGGATGGAGAATGCAACTTTGAATTACTGCAAAATAACGATGCTAAACTGCTCTTGGTAAAAAACTAGGGCTTAGATGTCTAAGAAGAGTTGAGATGTGTGGCAAGAGTAGCATTTACAGTATGACTAGAGAATGTCTGATTGGAGAAACACTTAATGCTCTAATTATTCTTGTTAAATATCCATGGATGCCGCACCTGCATTTGAAAACACAAAGCTTATTCCACAACAACTGCCAATGGCATTTCATAACGCTCATGAATAAAGCCTAGTACTTGCAGGACTTGGACATTTATTTTGTTTTGTACTTGATGATGTGAAAAAAGAACAAACAACAATAAACGAAATCTTTGGTGGGCTGTAAAAGTAACCAAGTTCAACACAAATCCAGTTTCCTTAGTGTACTGTGTGACTCACTAATCTGGCAGGAGTATGGACTAAATAGTGCAAGATAATATGAAGATGTCTGGGAAGCGTTGTAATGCATCACAGTAGGACAACAAGAGAAAATATATCATTTGAAACGGGCGAACAATCCAAAAGAAAAAAGAAATAAAAGAACTTTGGATCAGATGGTGAACTCTGTCAAACTATATTAACCGAGTAGATAAATCTGGCTTCCTAATGTTCATGCCAACACTTTTTATTAAATTTGAGAGCTTGGCAGATTAGTCTGGTAGAGAGCTGCGTATGCCGAGTGGATCTACGTTCCTTATTTAGATGTATTCTCTAGCTGACCTGGAGACATCGCCATTTCAGGTTGTGCATCTGAGCGGAGGGCTGGTATCGACAGCAGAGTAAAGGAAGAGGTCATGGATTAAAGACATGGGGCGAAGCTTCCCCACCAAACCACAAACATACCCCACAGCTGGTGTGGACCGAGCCACGTGTGTGGGACCGAGGCAGGATAAACGGGCATTGTTCTTAGCTAGCTGCACGCACAGTGGATGAGACAGCCACTGGTGACACAGGGTCAAGGGGCATGTGGCTGACTACAGCGGAAGAAACCGCTGGACACAGGAGGTGCTCAACACTGCTAAGTCACCATACACTTCTTCACCAACAACCAAGCTGTGAGGCAAAACATCAAAACGAGTCACTGTGAAAGCTGCGGCAGGGCGGAACAAAAATCCGCCGGCTGTTGCAGAATTCGACACCATCGAGAAACTCTAATAACGTCAGAATCATCTCGGAAATTTGAATCAACATTTTTAGGCAGAGAATGCAGATTGTATTTAGGAATTTGTGAATGCAAGTTACAGGGAACATCAAAAGCCAGTGGTCTCCGTGCAAACCTGCCTTGACTTGAATTATTAAATCTGTCGATGTCGCGCACACCAGCCGCCCTGCGATTATAGTGTAAATTGACAAACTTTTTCAAAACTACAACGGAAGCCACAGAAAGCTGGTTGATACTTCAAGAATGAGCTTTGATATATCTCTGAGGAATACACTGCGCCTCAATAATGTGGTGACTGTCAGGAAGGAAGACAGGGAGGGGGGGGAAAAAGAAATATGCTAACTGGTTAAATCTATTTAAGATCCCAATGAGATTTTTTCCTATTTTAAGATTAAAACCATCCTTGATAATGAGGGAAAAAAAAGGTTTGTGTGTTTTTAAGAGGATTTATTTAGAAAGTGATGTTTTTATTTTCTTTCTTGTACGCTCCTGAATTAAGAACTTCAGGAGGAATGCTGACATTGTTTATTTTCATAGACCCCCTATCTGTTTGTGGAGGGGAAAAAAAAAAAAAAAAAAAAAGCACAGCACCACCCACCAAATGCACATGCATACATAACACACACACACACACACACAAACACATACACACTGAGCCATAGTGATGCTTGAATTTTCTTCAGGAGCAGAGCAAGGAGAAGCAGCGCCCGATCTGTCGCCTGTACACTTCTCTCACTCCCTCCCTGGCTCACCTTTGATGTGCTCCCGAAAATGTCATCAGGCGTCAAAGAAAGAGGTTTTTTTTCCCCACCGACTCCCCTCCTTCCACCCTCCAAAAACACACGCACACACACACACACACATCCACCCACCTCGCATATGAGCAAGACAATTTGCTGTCGCTCACTCATCCTCAGCACTATCTTGAACCCCCCCACCCAACACCGCCCCACTCCTTTTCCAATTCATAACAGAATACGTACCAGTTTCTACCGCTATCTGGTAGCCGGCCTCCAGTCTCCGTGATGACCTTTCCAGCTTCTCTGTGTTGTCCAACAGATGTGCTCTCTGCAATAAATAGAAAAAAAAAAGAACTCAAGCTGGAGAAACAAACACAAAATAAAAATTGATTGAGAGGGCTGGGACCCATTTCAAAGAAACACATCAACCCTGTCACCTAAGCAGACAGACCACATCCACAGCGACAACATAATACAACCATATTGGCAATAACCTTCATGGATGACAATGTGTTGTGTCCTGATGGAATATCAAGCAAATGCATGTAAAAAAGGCTGCTGCCTCATCTTGGACATAAAAAGCGGCACTACTTGGAGCTTTGCTGCCTCCTCATATTGTTTCACAACCCAGGACAGTTAATTTGTTTTAGCTCCTTGCCTTAAGATGAAATACAAATTTATTTAAAGAGCTGTCCAGGTAAAACAAAACCGGGTCCAGCTAATGTTTTCCAACTGGAGGAACCTCTAGTCACAACCTCTAGCATAGCAAGAAAAGATGGGTTTCATAAATTATTAAGACTGCAATGTGATTTTTTATTTTCCAAAGAGGGTGTTTGTGAGTATCAAGGTCTAAGCTAAGGCTGTAAATATCACGTGTATACGAGTACAAACTACTGATAGCAGTTCCTAGGATACCAAGCAAACCAATGATGTTGGCCTCTTCTCTTCCTAAACAGCTCCTATATAACAAGCAAGACAAGAAAAGAGCTCATCCGTTGACTGGACGTCCACTACGGGCTCTCACTTTCTTTGGTGGAGTTAAAATAGTGGTAGTTTTAAAATGCCGAAATTTACAGTTTTTTTAGACTCTTATTCAAAGCTTTCTCTGAAAGGCTGAAACAGTTAATTAAACTTAGATAAAGTTAGTTAAAAAGTCTGTAACTGGTGACTGTTGTGAGCTGCCTTTTAAAACCTGTTGTAGTGGCCTTACAAACTGAATTGCCAAGCTCTAAAAATTATTAACCTTATGGATTTGTTTACATACAAAATGTCTGCTGAGTCCAAAGTGACCAGCCACCTATAACATATAAAGATGCACTTACATACATACTAAAAACAACCCCTCATCATCCACTGAACTGAGACACTTCATGTGCAAAACCAACATAAGACCGAGCTTTCATTAAACCCACACTGCAATCAAACAGCATAAACATGGAAGACTTAAATGTTTACTTGAATGCTGTTGGTTGTGACGGCTTTTCTAATGCGCAACCTTAAGAAACTGATCAGATTTAACACATCTGACACAGGAAAACAACCCAATGAATGACAGCCGCCCATCTGACAAGGGTTTCACGCCCATCACATGAGTGAAGGGGACAGGGAAAGAAGTGAAATCTCTAGTTTTGGTTTGGCTGTCAAAATGTGTACCAGCTAATCACTCAGAGGAAATGAAAAATGTGGAGGGGAAGAAAAAAAAAAAGTCAACGACACACTTTTCAAACTTTGACAACAAGAGGGATGGGAAAAGAGCAGGGAGGAGAAAACTCCCTCTGAACTCTTTTCTTTCCCTCGTTTCCTTTTTCTTTGTGCCGCTGACAGATGTCATTTAAAATTGCAGAGATACTTTTTAATAGTTAAAGGGAGGGCAGGGGAGGGATGGCGCGATAGGAGAACGGGTTGGGTGGTTGAGTGATAAAATGGTCTTGCGGTAGGAAACTGATAAGTAGACGGCGAGCGGCGCTGGATGCAAGGTGTGGTGTGGTTTTGGTAAAGGTTGTGGTAGAAGGGGTTTGGAGGTGGCGTGGAAGTGGTAGTGGCACCAACAGATATGGTGTCAGTATACATGTGGGAGAAAACGGATACCAAGCTTGGGCTATAATGAGCCCCTATGGATCAGCTGCGATGCAGGGGACGCACTGACATGCAACGCTTAAGCTAATACACCTAGACCACGGCTGCAGTGCCTGTGTGTGCCTGGGAGCATGAGGCAGCCAGGGATACTGACAGAGTAGCGCACTCCCTGGGTTCTTCAAAGAGCTCAAGTGATTAGTATGTTATCATTACCATTCGAAACGTGATTTTCCTATTCCCTCTCGGCAAAGGTGACACGTCTCGGGGAGACGGCCGGCAGACTCGCTGCGATGGAAAGCCACTTCAAAGCTTTATCCTCCTGAATTTCTCTCTCTCTCTGTGTCTCTTCTCTCCCTCGTTCTGTCTTCTTTTAGGCCCGGGGGGAGGGTTGGGTGTGTGAGGTGGAGGCGAGGGAGGGGGGGGCACTGGGGGGTTGGTAGTGGTGGCAGTGGTAGTATACGTGTGTGTGTGTGATCATTAGAATAATGCATCCTGAGTTTCACAGTGACAGAACCTGAAGGAAAGGGTTAAAGTTCAGCCGCTAAGAATCCAGTAATGGCAGACTATGATAGCCCTAATAATGGAACAATCCAGCCACGGACACAAGATGATACCAGGGAAAATAATGAAAAGGAACGTGTACAAATTAAACTAAAGATCGTTCACTGCATTGCCACAGTCAGTCAACACAGATAAAGAGATTATACATAAAGAGATACAAATTACAATGCAGTATCTCTCACAGTCATGCAATATTGCTCCAATGTTGCAGGACCAAAAATAGTGAAATTGTTCAGGTTTTCAACCATTTGTTTTTATTCTGCAGCAAGCAAGCAATCCTTGTCAGCAATTTTTACTGAGAGAAATGCAAAGTTGCTGCTGGTGTGCTACACTGTCCCAATTCAAGACTTGACCCTTGCGGTTCTCATATAACCACTGTAAAAACCTTCAGAACAAGGCAAAGACATGCACAGAGCACAAATCATACCTGATCCTCTCATGGAGCCTTCTAGCAAAAGATTAAAATATAATATATGATAAATATTGTGCATCTGAGAGTGCACCAGTGCGCCCCGCCACCACCACCACCATTCCTACCTATGTATGTATGCCTTTTCATCTGACACCTACATTTTTGAACAAAGATCTTCTTAGGAACCACAAAAATGGTGTTTTTCTGTTGTGCTTTTTTGCGTCAAGAAACACTCTTCAGTTGTAAGTTATTAACAGGGAGCCCCAGAACAATGCAGCTGTAGCTCAAAAGAAATCTCTCCCCTCTTCTTTCCTTCTCCTGCCTTCTTTCAATATCAAACACAGGCGGTTACTATCACCATTTTCCAAAGTTCAGATGATTTCCTTATTATTTCAATAAGGGTGGGGGAGAGTCAAAGTGAATAATGATGACAGCTGTGATTCAGACTGACTGTGTGATCTTCTCTGCCGTTTGTTTGGGACTTGTAAGACGAGGAATTACAAGTGTCAAACAGCTGTGAATATGGGTGCTAAATATTTAAACATGTTTTTCAGCTGAAGAAAAAAGTGCAGTTTTTTAAAAGCAAGGCTTAAGTGTGTATAAGCTGCGCCAGCCTTTGATTCAAATGCAGGAAGAGCAAAAGGGTAAAAGACTGCAATGGCGACGAGGGCAAAGATTCAAGCCCGATTACACAGACTGGACCATTCCAAATAGGGTAGACAGGTGAGGTAACTCAAGATGTCTTCTGACCCTCGGGCTAAGAGGAAATGCTGAAAAAAGTCGGTAGAAGAAGGGGAAACAAAAGTAAAGCTAAATAAAAGGAAAAAAAGCACAATAACATGGCATCTGGGCCAAGCTGGCACTTTAAATTATGGATAGGTGTGAATGGAGATGCTTTGATAGGAACTGAATTACTCTGTGTCTTCAGAATCCCTCTTGAATAAAGTCTCACTCGAAGGCACATTTAAAAACATACTGTAACTATAGCTACAAAGACGAGTTCAGGGCAGGACAACAATATAATGTAACCTACAATAACTAAAGAACCTGCCTCTTTGAGCGCTAAATACAATTTATATAGACTTAAGAATACATGCACAATATAAAGCTAAATATGTGTATAATATCTTTTTATCAACAATGAGACAATGACTACATTCAAATTAAGGTAAGCTGATGTTGAACCTACCATTAGTAGCATTACTGGGCAGTCCAAGAAAAAACAAACTCTAAAGGCTAGACATGTAATTAAACAGTTATAAGACATTTCAATTTAACCTGAAGTATCGATACTCCAGTAAATAAGACGATATACACAACAATAACATGATTCAAGCACAGTGATAGATGTTTGAGACACCCCAGTAGAACTTTACATATCAAATGAATCAAAAAAGAAAACTAAAGCAAATCTATAAGAATTATACTCAGAATTATACTTATTTACAGGATCTGCGTCGCAATTAACAAAACTATTAAAATAATTCTAACATCAGTGATATTAACACCTACTATTGCTAACCAAGCTGAACAATTGTTATGAATAATATAGTATTTATTGATAAGTCACCTCTTTAGAATATCATTATAATAATTACATATATCAATACCATACAGTTTCAAATGGTAAGCTAATGAGTTAAACAACAAGTTAACAAAGATGCTAGTTTCTGCATGCAGTTAATGTTTTATTCATTTTTTATCATCATCATTGCTACTATTATTAACGTACAATCCTATATATACAATATATTTGGATATTCAGGAACCAAAGGAGGCAAGGAGGGAAGAAAGAATAAACATAAATATAAATTTGTGAAAATAAAAACAGATCTATACAGACAAACTTAGTTTCTAGGAGAATTCACAATTAAAATGATCTTGCAGGGCACTATGTAGCTCTCTAAAGCTCCCTTTAATAACTTGACAATCCAGAAAAAAAAAAAAATGTTGTGGTTTGCATTTTGGTTTCCAAATTTTCTCCAGCAGATGGGGGGGGGGGGAGGGGGGGGGGGGGGGGGGGGGGGGGGGGGGGGGGGGGGGGGGGGGGGGGGGGGGGGGGGGGGGGGGGGGGGGGGGGGGGGGAGGCAGAGAAGATTTCTTCTGAGAGAGTGGAATAAAGAACTGATCAAATTCTTCAAGCACACTCCCTCCATTTCTGAGACGCTATATTTCTATTAAAACCTCCACATTATTGTCCATTCCTCTGCCATTTTGTTTGAATGTATTAAGCTGAATACGATTCAAGATTCAAAAGACCTTTGAATTATCCTGTTATCTAAACTTTAAGTTGTATCCTTGTAGCTAACTTTTCTTTTCTGCTAAGTCAAAACAACAGTTTAGCTGTTTTGTACATTGATATGCTATAAAGGCTGATAATCCACAACCTTTCTACTAAAAGTTTCAAACTACAGTTCCTCAAATGGCCACTTGAGGCCAGCTTCAAAATCAAGTCATTGTACTTCAATATCAAACTTTGCAGAAGAACTAAACATGATTATCATCTGGTACAAAATCGAATTGGTCACTACAATAAAAGTTTCCTGTGTATGAGAGAAGGAAGTGAGATGGGGGCATGTGTGTACTAAATCCAACCAATTTAATATCACTTTAACTTTAAGGCTTTTACATACAGTCTATGGAAACAAGGGTCAGTGGATGGCTTGATGAGTTTTAAAAGGATGTGAATCATATGCTATAGTCTTCAGAATTCCTTCAGCCCAGATTAACACCTCTGGCAGATTTTGGATTGATGTGTTAGTTAGTCCTCTCCAACATCATCATCAAAAGACCAAATGAATGAGTGAGTATCTTTTGGAAGAATGGCGTTCCTTCCCTCCAGGAGATTTCCAGGGACTTGTGCAATCAAAGCCAAGGTGCGGCATGTGGTGGCCCAACATCTTACTAAGCATCTCTTTCCTTTCATTTGTAATCAAAAGCACAAAACAAATACTAGCCTACAATGTGCACTCTTAAACACATAACATAAATCACTAAAAAATAACCTCAGTGTTTTTTTACTGCACAAGCAGCTTTTTTGGCCTCATATTGAGATATTTAAAGAACAGTAAAACGTTTCAAGCTGCCATTCCTGATCAAAACTCAAAAGCTGATCAAGTTCTTGAAAGTTGTTGGTCCCAATAACTGAAGGAACTCTGAGTTTAATTCCCTAATATTTGCCCTTAAACAATTGCATCAGAAATAGTATCTCATCTTCGCTTCCTGATATTTATAGGAGGGGAAACTTGAGGGATTGGCCCTAAGTAAATTCATTATCTGCGGTTCGGCCTCTAAACTGTTCAATCAGACATCCAGAAAGTGTCCAAATGAGTGGTTCTAATTTTCTAACAAAGAAAGGAGGCAAAATAGGTAGTTTCATACGGAAAGCAGAACTTAAATTCTTAGATCAGAAAAGCACTTACCTCTTCACGCAACTTTACCAACTGCATCGTGAGAGCAAAAAGGAGAAGAAAAGAAGGATGGAGAAAGTGAAAGATAGATTAAAAAAAAGCAGAAACAGTCATATGGCTGGATAGAGAATTAACCTTGACGATTTATCTGTTTGCATGTTTAGCATTTGGAAATCACAAGACAAACACATTAAACGGAGCTAAACACGCCGCTTGGGCTGACTTTTTTTGAACAAACAAAGATCAAGTCCTGCTGCTGTCACATTAAACAAGCACAGGGAATGGATCGTTCGACTCGCAGAATCAACCGAGATTATCAAGGAAGTCACATTACAGAAATTGATATAGCGAGAGAAAAGAAAGAATGAGTAAAATCTGGTTTGCACATTTATAGTAAGATTAAATGTTGAGCGAAATTTTCTCATCTGTCACTGTGCAATTCTCTGCAAAACGAACAAAAAAAAGGAAACTGTGTGCCTTTTGGAACAGAGTTATAAAAATGCTGAGGCACATTATTTTGCATCGCTGTTTATTAATGCTGGTAAGCTGTCAATATTTAATGTCTGTTATCAATCGCATTAAAGGTGCAGATTGTTCAGCGTATGCATGGAAAGCCATGTAAGGCTACAATTGTGTATACATACAGTACTGCTTATTATGAGGACAACCATAGATCATGAAAAATGAATCTTAGCATAGCTATACATTTTTCATGAAAGAGAATAACAAATTTAAAGTGAAGTAAATAAGAAATGCTATTCCTATTCCCTGTCCTGGAAATTCTTGCATCTCTGATAATGAAACAGACATGTAAGGGAGGGCAGTAATCCCATTTGCCATTAATTATGCCCAATCACAATTAAAAGGTTGGTTCCCTGGCCTGTCCTTAAGTTAGGGTTGCAGAGGAGGAAGGCTTCACGTAGGAATGCAGCACATTTGGAAGAGAAAGAGGAAGGACGCATTTTTGATGTGTTAGCCTTTTAAAGTGATTTTAATTAATTTAAATCTAATATTTAATTGGTCACTATTACAAAGGTAGTAGCTGAAAAAGGAGACTTAGGGCCACAATTACTCAAACTATTTATTTGGGATCATTGTAAACAATATAGGAGGAAAATCTATTTAAATTAAAACTATGACTTAACATTTATCTTATACCAAAATTCAAAACAACAACAACAAACAATACTGCACTCCCTAAATTTCCCTCTCCTGTATTTATAACAAAACTAGTAAACACAGTCAAAGAAATTTGTCATAAATAATGAATTCAGGATGAGTCTGTGCTCGACAAAAACTGACTGAAAAATAAAGAAACTCACACATTATAATCTTGCATGTCAAAAATAGTTCTTGCATCATTTTTGCTTATCATAAGTATATGTCTGTGACATATATATATATATAAAAAAAAAATATTGTCAATATCTGTAATGTGGGAGGTAAACAAGTATACCTCCATGTTTTTATAAAGAGCTCTTACCCTTGAAAATGTCGGCAGTAACAAGGCGCACCTTAGTGAGGAAACACTCTTTTCTAACTTAAGCAACAACTCCCGCTAAGAATGCATTATTGAAGAGGCCAAAGTTTAAAACGACACTGTGAATGTGGTTATTTGGGGCTTGAAAAAAACCCCATCAGATCCTGCGATCCCTCACCACAGCTCTGCCATCAGTCAATGGATACCAAACAAAACTTGTTCTAGCTCATTTGTGCTGCCTGACTGATTGCAAGTCCTTGTGGAGGATTTGTTAAAACTATATGATGGGCATGGTGAGCTGTTTTTCTCGTTTCTTCCTGTTTAGCTTTATTTTTTCTTTGGCATCCATTCTTTATTCTGGCCAGTGATGCTCGTGTTGCTCGAGAGATATACAGCAGTAAATACAGAATATTGTAAATGGTATAATTACTCCTGCATGAGCGTAGCTCCTTGTGTTTTTGTGATGCCAGCCAGTATTCAAAATTGCACTGCTGCAATTTTTCTGTTATGATAATCAGCAATTTTTTTTTTTCAAACAAAAGATTTTTTTTTTTTTATCCAATACGGAATTCGATACAAGTGGTAATCTGCTTCCTTTGTAGGCTGTAAAATCTGGTCCATGCCGGCTCAAACCAGCACAATCTCTTGTGGCCAAGCCTTCTGCTGTGACTGAAATCGAAACTATTCCGTATAGTGTTCGTGTGTGAAAAATGTGTGCGCATTTGTTGCTTTGTGTGTGGCGTCTGTGTGTGCTGACAGTGTGTGTGTGTGTGTGTGTGTGTGTGTGTGTGTGTGTGTGTGTGTGTGTGCGTGTGTTGCATGCAGAGGAAACAGAAAGGGAAAAAAAATGTGCAATGGTAGCCTACCACATTATTAAAAAAATGAGTGATAGTGCCAATTCAGTCTCTGTCCGCATACAGATAACGAATAAATGCCGAACTCTATTAAATCGTCCTTTAGCCATTATCGCAGGGCCAACACGCCATTTTCAGAACTTATGACGGTTCCCTATTTACTTAGCTATAAATCCTTGCCATGTAACCAACAGATTTGTGACTGGTAATGATCTGCTCAGCCAGGGCTATATGAAATGATCCTGACCTCTTTCAGATCGTCAGGAATTAAATTGACCGACTTGCCCCGGCCCCCACCATCTTTTCCCCTCTCCTATCACCGCCGTCTCGTTAGATAAAAAAAAACCCTGAAGTTGCGAGTACTCCACTCACAGCAAGACCAAGACAAGTATTATCTCCACAAGTTTTTAAATGAAAATGAGGCAAATACGGCACCTGGAAGAAAAAGGATAAATGTACATCATCTATTTACTTTGCTTTTGCCCCCGAGATGAACTCTTTCTTCGGCTTTGTATGGGTGTGTGCGTGTGCGCGCGTTTGTAGGTGTGTGTATGTGACAGTTTTAGATTAGTTTTGAATTTTTAAAGTTGAACAGACATTATCACCATTCATTAAAGAGTTTTTTAAATAAAAAATTTAACATTCTAAGTCCCAGAAGTCTATTCAACAAATACATTTTGTGAATATACAATGAAAGAAGAGTAATAAATCACATATTTTGGCTCATTTTTTAAGGGCATCATGTTTGACCTAAATTCCCCAAGTTAAAAATGTCTTCCTCTTAATTTAAAATTAATAAATAATCTAAATTTTATTTTATATATGTGGATTTGTGATTTTTAATATATATATGATTATGTTATTATTAAATAGGATCGAAAAATAATGGCTGGATTTGTTCATGTATTTAAATGTCACGCTTTGCTACTGTTATTTGTACATGCATGGATTAAAGCCACATATTTTATCTTAACTTGGAAATACAATTATATTAAATAATATAAAAGCAAGAATATTTTTATTAATTAAATTCCAACATCAGCTTTCAAAATCCTATAATGTAAATTTATAGTACTATGCCACAATATTAATCCTAAACTTTTTCTTTATTATTTTCCTCTCAGATTTATACATTTCAGATTTACAAATATTCATTTTAAATATTTCAGATAGATTTTTAATGAAGGGGAAATAAGATTTGAAATGAAATGGGATCTGGATTTTCAGCTTTTCCTTGACAAGATTTTGATAGGACCCATCAGAGTCTCAAATGTGGCATTTCTGACAGCAAATCTCCTTCTAACTTCTGCATAAAATGTCGGAGCCACTTTTGTGTCTCGCTAATTTGCCAAGAATATGCATATCAATTACACATCTAGGCTCGTGATACATATGTTTCTAAGATGCGCGGTTCATGGGTCATCATTGAAATGGTAATAGGGAAATGTTCAAAAAAACGAGGAAAAAAAACCAGACAACTTTATTTAGCTTTGCCTGGGTGTGAATCATCTAAATATACTCGCATAGCGCTGTGAAACTAAATGTGCACATATGTATTCATCTTTCTTCTTTTTAGTATGTGGAAAGCATTTATTTGCGCGTGTGTGTGTGTGTGTGTGTGTGTACGCGTTAAGACACAGTAACCTCTGCAAGAAGACAGCTGACTCTAAAGGCAATATATAATTAGTCAAAAGACATTTTGTCATAGTTGAGAGTGGCTGAGTACAGCTGTGAGCAGTGCTGCTGATGTATTACTGTTTGACTGGAAACAATTTATTTAAAATTAAGTTTAAAGAGTGTGGTATATTTTTAGCAAATTAAAACTGCAATGTCTTCTTAATACAAACCCCCCTCAAAACTGGTGTAAAAAAATCTTTTGTAAATATTGCTGACGTTAAAGGAAAATTGCTTATGTGCTCATGTTGTTTACATCCCCAGATTCAACAGGCTGGACTGATAGCACATAAAAAAAACAAAAAAACAAACCCAAACAATTGTGAATACACTGATAGCTAACAGATAAAACGATTAAAAGGGCCATTAAAAAAAAAAAAGATTTCTGTTTGAAGCTTGACATGATATACTAGATCAAATTATTTAGTGACTAAATAACTTTTATTGAGTACTTTTTCAATTTCTTTCAGTCATCAGTAAGGGAACGCATTGTTCACCACTGGAGTTCACAAAAAGACAAGAGAGTAAGATTTAGCGGCTGTGTGTTCATTTTTGTGTGGGTGTGTATGTCTTTGTGTGTGTCTTGATCATGAGGATCTATTATGATCCTAAGTCCGTACCCGGCTGGAGAACAGCTGTGGGACGGTTGGAGCAGGGAGGCTGGGGTTTTGGATTGAAATCTGTGTTTAAGTGTGTATTTGTGTTTAGGTGCACTGCTTGTGTTTGTGTGCGTTGGTCACAATCTGGCTGTGTCCAGACACCGGTCCCATGCCCCGAGCCCGCTCACTGCTAGCCCAGCTTTGCATTAAACAGTGTTACTTCCGCATGGCTTAGTGACAATGGTGTGGTTTCAGCTCTCGATGGCTGCTACGATGGGGCCCACCTCCCCACCCTGGGGGCCAGTCAGCCACCCACACTGGTCTCATTTGGGCCCCTGATTAACACCTTACCTGGCTCTCCGAAGAACTGGCATCATCCCCCAGGAGCTCGTTGCGCACCTCATCACTGTAGGCAATGCGTGACCTTTTCTGCAGGAGGAGGAAGAGGAGGAGGAAGAAGAAGAAGAAGGACAAAAAGAAGAAGGAAGAAAAAGAGGAGAGCAAAAAGAGAAAACAAGTGGGGAAATATGGCTTAGTACTGTTGTTGATGCAAAAACACAACAGGCATTCCTTAAACACGAGAGCCCCCTAATGGAACTCGGTGACAAACCGAATCAAACATGGAGGGTGTGTATATGTGTGTGTTTGCCCTTACAGCACATGTACCAGCAACAAAGCAGTGTTCGGGGTTTGTGCCTATGCCTCCTTCCAAGGTGATCGACTTTACCTCATGCACTTATGCCACAGCGGTGGTGGCAAAGAGCCCCAACCACACACACATATACACCTTGCCCACTTAAACAAATACAAGTTGAAGGATAAAAAAAAGCCCATCCTGTGTGCAGGGAGAGGCTGAGGAACCAGGGACAGGGTAGAGGGCCAGGGAGATGTATTATGAGGAAGTATCACTTGTCAGCGCTAAATCTTTTCTAGGGGCTGTCACTGCTGTCATCCCAGTGCAGTGGCAGGCTCTGTGATAACACCAATGCTGTGACTCAGACAGGGAATAATTCATCACCCATTGGCGGCCCATCGGATTTGGGGTTGCCTCTCTCCCTCACACACACGCACACACACAAACTCTCTCTCACGCTCTCTCTTTCTCTGTTTCCAGATAGGCTAGAATAAGAGGGAATCCATGTCCCCCCCACCCAAGAAAAAAAACACCCAAAAAGACACACTCAGACACACACATTTCATACACACTTCAGAGTGTGCCACCTCCGATTGTGGAAGAGTGGGCTGCCGTTGTACTGCTTGTTTACAGACACCCGACCCATGGAAAAACAGCCTCTTGGCATGCCCTCTAAACTAAATACACACCAGCAGCAGACACAGAAAGTGTTTACTAAGCCTCCTTCGCTTTCTGTCACCGCCTTGACAGGGTTTCTAGGTGGGCTGCAGGAGGTGGGCAAAATCAAAGACAAACACCAGCAGAGGAATGAAAATATCACTTTTCCTCAGCACAAATTCTTTCAATTTTTCTATATTTATATTGTAATTGACTAAGTAAATAAAACAAAAGTCGGGGAATAAGCAAAGGAACACCAATTACCTGGTGGGGACATTTTTTCCCCCCTCAAAGGCACTATCCTTTCCTCCTCTCTTTCTTAACAGTAAAAGTTTAAAGAAGCTATAGCACTAAGCACTTTAATGGTGCCTACCATGACAAAAAGCACAAACCAAACTTGAAAATGCCAATTCGAACGTCAGGAGTGATGACATCAAGCTGCTTGATTGAAATAGCTTTGGAACCAATCAAAACTGAGCCGGTTGATTTTATTTATTTGTCTCTCCTCATAATCTGGAGCACTGAGTGGAAACTCCTCGCTGATGTGATTTGTTATTATCGTGATGGTGAGGGCCACAGTTCTCTGGAGTAATTACTGACTAGATAGACAATCCAGACCACAAAACCCATAAAGAGCGCACCCAAACAATAGCCAACCACGGGGACCTAACCTAACCACTAAACGCCTACTGAAGAAAAAGACTGGCAGCACAGTCTGAAATAACACAGACACACACCGGTATAAAGGAGCACTCTGTCAAAAGATGCTGTTAAAGTTGGTTTTTGAGTATTATTTAACTTTTACCTTAATTGCTCTAATGCTGAATGAACTGGAACAGCCAGTTCAAGATAAACTGGCGAAACATGCACTATTTAAATGGTCATGAGAGCATAAGCATAATTAATGAGATCGTTTCTGATTTATTTTCTGTCATCTGAAGCTTGTCATCCTTTATTTAAATGCCTAATGCATATGTTTATGTATTTGAAACATAATTTAAACCATATTTTGTCACCTTTAAAAAAAAAGAAAAAAGAAAACCCATCCATTCCAGCATTGTAAAGCATTGTAAACCTTCTACACCAGGGTAACTGAATGGTCACTGTGCTGCAGTTAGTGCAAGTGTAAGCACAAGAAAAAGGAATTCCAGATTTGTTAAAATCAGAAAGACAATAAAGACAATATAACGACAGCATGTACACTTGTACACCAGGCACACGCGCACTTTTTTTTTTTGCCAGGAAAAACACCCACATATTCCATTTAAGTCGAGTTTCATCTTAAAGAGCTTCAGTGCAACTTAGGGGGAAAGACGACTTCACCAGTAATTGAGACGAGGAAGCCTGGGAGAAGCATTGATTTGAATGTTCAGGCTTACGTCGCCTTCAAACCATATGCAGGGCTTTTTTGGTATTTCTAAATAGCTGTTTGTTACGGATGAATGTATGAAGGGTTTCTGCAATGAGAACAGAGTAGATAACAAAGAAAGTATAAAGAATGGAAAATGTCATTGAAATGAAAGTGTTGCCGCTATTTTCCCTGTACCTACAGTACACACTCCAGCTTTTGGATTCCCCCTCTGGAAAACAACAGATTCCTAAGTGACTACTGCCTTCCCATTTGATGTAAAATATAAGCAGGTGCAATACTGACTGCTTAATACAGTAACAGATTTTGATTATGAGTTTGGGTGTTTAGTGACAACAGGCACAGTCTCGAGGTCAGAAAGGAGATATCTGGTCTATTGTAAAAACCTTATTTTCCATTAATAATAATAATAATAAAAAAAAAGCTCTAAAACTAACTCAATCTATTTACAGTACATGGAGACAGAGCTCCGCATCTTAAGACAAAACCAACTAATCAGGCTTTGTAATCTAAAAAAGAATACGTGCTTTCAGAAGATACCTTATTGCTCAGAAAAGGGGGGGGGAAAGAGCTTTTTTTAAATCCTTTTGAAAGGTCTGTCTTTTGTCACTTTTTTTTTTATCTTGGGTGAGAATTTGCTTCTATTCCCGGAAGCACACAAGAAAAGTACAAAAGGTACATCTTAACTTTATGCAAAGTGGCCTGCCTTTAAAAACTCCACGCATCCCGTCAAATGAGGCGATGGAGGTGCTGGTGTCCTGTCAAAAACACACGTTTTACCTCTGTTGACATGGATAGCAGGAAAAAAAAAAAAGTATTCTTCTTTACTCATCAAAACATAATTACATATGCACGCATAACAATTCATATCAGATATGCTAATCAGTTCAGCATAATCCTCTGAGCAGCAAATGATATTAATTCAATTATAACCAATACATGGATATCTTATTTGTGTACAATTCCTTTATAGTCTATGAGCATGCAATGGTATACTTTTGTTAAATAAACATGACGACTCTTAATTCCTTCATAAACCACTCACAGAAAAACACGTTATTAATTGTAAAAAAAATAATAAAACAATGAAATAATAATAATAATAATAATAATGATGATAATAATAATATGACCTTTCAAAATAAATTCAAATCAGTCTCCAATTAAGGTCTCTGTAATATTAAACAAAACTTTCTCAGAAAAATTCAAATGAAACAAACTGAGATCCATATACACATTTCAATGCCCTCCAACTCTCCTCCTTGCTTTTTGCCTGGTGCAACGAGTGACACAAGGACAAGTCGAATAATTGTGGCGCCTAGAAAGCAGAAAAAAAAAATGTAAACAGTTCATTAGATGGGAAATAAAAGGCGTAAAAATACCCAGGGGCAGAGTGTAATGAGGGGCCCTGAAGTTCCTCTGCAGACGCTTTTTCCCTCTACTTTCCCAAGCTTTTCCTTTTCACCCTGCACACACGGCTGGTGGCATAGCATGAAGAGTAATTAACCACATTCAATTTATAGTACTAGGCTCCATTACAAGGTTTTTCACCAGCAGGTGAGCAACTGGGCAAGTTAGACTTAATAACTCTCATGTCTAACGCCATGTGATTGCCTCAAACTGACATCCAGTCCTTTCATTTTCCTCTCCTGGTTGCTCTAGGGATGCACAAAATGTGAAAATCCAAATAAAATTAAGGTGAGTATAAAATGATCTAAAATGAACATCCTGTAAAAATAAATAAATAAGTAAAAAAATATTTCTAAAGTCAGCACAGAAGTGACAATGAAGTGGAGCAGTAAAATGTGTGTTCACAAAAATGTGTGCTAAACTCAAAGGTTATCTATTTCACTTCCTCTCCTCCCCTGCTGTGATATTTTCCCAGGTGATGTGTGGACCAGCGCCAGCAGGCCCCACTCTGGTTCCCCCCACAAGTGGGGGCAGAGGTGGGCTGATGCGGCATGGCGTTAAAAGGAAGCTGAGACCTTTAAGCAGGCACAAGTATCACAACAGCATCTTAAATAATGCATCTCTGCTCGGCAGGGGTTTAACACGCGCGCATGCGCGCACACACACACACACACACACACACACACAGACATGCACAGCAAAGCACAAAGCGAAACACACACACACACACACAAATTGTTGTCTAGCATCTTCTACTCTCCTTTAACACAAACAAACTGGGAGAGGTTGTTCAATTAAGTGCTCCTTTTTAATACATCTGATATATTATCAGACAAAGAGAAGCAGCTACAGTTGGGACTGTCGCAGGAGGGTGTCATTTGCGCCTTTGTTTTATTGCGGTCTTTGGTGCCATCGAATCCTTTACTTCTGTCTGTTGTGCGCTTGTGTGAGTGCAGAAGGATACATGGGGGCTACTGTATGTAAGATGGAGGCTTCTGTGAGCTTTTGCATCCCCGGTAAACCTCCTTTAGAGAACGTACGCGTGCAACATATGTGAACGGTAGCCCGGTGTGTGTTCTCTCCCCTGATAGAAGTGCAGCAGTGGTAGAGAAGCCGGAGCCTTAGATAACAGCATGGGGCCTCTCATTAGCTCACAGGTTGGTGCTTTGGTGGCTTCGACGCACACTGCATTGTGTTCCACCTCGATGAAATACCTCAAGGAGTCTCAGAGAAACAATTGTCAAAAAAAACACAAATAGAGGTGAATGATCAACAACGGCAAGGCAATAAATGAGCCAGCGACATATCTGAGCAGGTGTGAGGTGAGGAGACTTATTTTAGGCAGACAGAGTGGATCAG